GACAACTGTATGCAGGTGTAGGATTACAGTTCAATTCACTTTCGTTTCACTAACCATTTCCAATTAAAACTTCTCTAATGGTCTAGTGTGATTAGATCATTCAATTTCAGGTTATAGCAGGTCAAATGAAGGCTTATCATCTACTAGTAGTTCTAGTAAGCTGTGGGTATACTAGGTGGGAACCACATTTTCTGAGAATTTTGCTTATTTCTAGAACTTTTTAATTCATTCAGAAGTTTAAAACTTGAAATACTATCTCAGGGAAGCATTTCAAAGTCTTACCAGTTATACAAAGTGATTTCTTCCTTTAAAGGAGAGGTTCCAGCCAGGTGCGATGGCTCACGCCTATAATCCTAGCACTGTGGGAGGCCAAGGCAGGCAGATTGCTTGAGGTCAGGAGTTCGAGACCAGCCTGAGCAAGAGTGAGACCCTCCCCTGCCCCCCCTCCCGTCTCTACTATAAATAGAAAGAAATTAATTGGCCAACTAATATATATAGAAAAAATTAGCCGGGCATGGTGGCACATGCCTGTAGTCCCAGCTACTCAGGAGGCTGAGGCAGAAGGATTGCTTGAGCCCAGGAGTTTGAGGATGCTGTGAGCTAGGCTGATGCCACGGCACTCACTCTATCCTGGGCAACAAAGCGAGACTCTGTCTCGGAAAAAAAAAAAAAAAAAAAAAGGAGAAGTTCCTTCTTATTAATAGAATTATATAGGTAATGGATCTAGAAGATAAATCATTTGTTTCACTTTCTGTATTTCCAAAAAAGGAAATACATTTCATTGGAATCATGCTAGATATCTCCCCTGCAAAGCAGCTGTCCAAAAAACCAGAACTTATCAATAACAAACAGAGGATTCCCCCCAATCCAGGGAGACAAGAAATGAGCTCACTGAGGCGAGGAGGCCCTGCTCCTCAGCTACAGTCAAGAGGCTCCACGCTTGCTAGGTCTCCCTTCCATTTTTCACCCTTTCTTTTCATTTTTATGTTAAATAGACCATTTGTTGGCTGGACAGAACTTAATTTTCTCTAGAGGGAAAGCACTGGAAGTTAATTAAACTCTGGATTATGGGCTAAGCATGGTGGTTCACACCTGTAATCCTAGCACTTTGGTAGACTGAGGCAGGAGGATTGCTTGAGGCCAGGAATTTGAGACCAGACTGAGCAAGAGAGAGATCCTGTCTCTATAAAAAAATAGAAAAAATTAGCCAGGTGTGGTGGCTTGTGCCTTACAGTCCCAGCTACTTGGGAGGCTGAGGCAGGATTGCTTAAACCCAGGAGTTTGAGGTTGCAGTGAGTTATGATGATGCCACTGCACTCTAGCCCAGGTGACTGAGAGACACCTTGTCTCAATCAATCAATCAATCAAAATCAATCAATCAGCATGGTTTATGAGAACTCTGATTTTTTTTGCCCATTCTCACCAGAGGAGGAGGAAGAACAGAAGTGAAGTTACAAAATCTGTAGGGTGGCTCAAAATTACATCTTTAGAACTGCCTTGTAGCTCCCTACATTCGAGGATGGATTGTTCTTTCTCTTGGCTCAGGGGAGGCTAACTTTTTTTGTGAATATCATCCTTCTAGTAGGGCAGGAGGCCAAACTGTCTAAAAGTAAAAACCAAGAGTCTGGAAACCTGGGTCCCAGCCTTAGCATTGTCGCTTAATTAGTTGTATGACTTCGTGCAAATCTTATAAATTCTCTCAACATCATATTTCTAGTCTCATAAATAGAAATAATAATCTCATCATATTATCAGGAAATCAAATGGAAAATAGTTGTGAAGGTACCCTTTTAATTATAAAATATAATACATACCACATACTATTATACTTTTTTCAGCATTTGGTATAAATAGCAACACTTATCAAAAAGCTCTTCTTTTGTGAACGTGAAAAGCAACTTTAAAAATTTTAAAATCTTTTGTATAATAAAAATAAAAATATTCAGGACCTAGACCCATACCTACAAATTATATTAATATAAACTCTATTTCCTAACTACAAATTATCATTAAAAAAATTCCTAAAGGTAGTGCATTCACTCCGCTTATATATTTTTGTTAGTTTTTCAAAGTAGAAAGAATTCTAGTACATCTCAGTTGTAGTAAGCTCATTAATTGCCACTATGATGAAACACTATTGGCTAAAGCAGTAGCATTGTATTTTCTTTTTAAATAAAGGATTCAACTATTAAGGTTTTATAATTATTCTTAGTTTTTTCCTTGGCACATCTCTGACCCTACCACTCCAGCATGCACAATTCCCAGATTAGCTCTCTGAGAGTCTCCAGATGATCTCACGCCCTGGCCCGGGATGACCTTTCAGCTTCATCTGCAGTCACCCTGGTCCCCACATGAGGCCCACGCTAACCACACCACAGTCGGTGTCCACTGTTCCCCAAACATGTGTACGACTTCAGCCTTTGCTCATTTTATTGCTCCTGTTTGGAATGTCTTCTTCCCTTTCCTCCTGCGTTCCAAATGTGCTCATCCCACATGGTCCCTTGGGTACTCAATGCCAGTCAGGAAAGGAGACTGCAAAATATGCATCCAGAGATATGAGATTATAGAGGCCACGGGGAGAACAGTGTTTCCAGAAGGGGATAATCAAAGAACAACATTGTTTAGGGGAAGAGGAAGACAAGGATTTAAAAAAGTCCGCAAATGACTCTTCTCAAAAGAGCGTCTATACTCAGGATGTCCAACTCCCTCCCCCTCCTCTCTTATTTCTACCTACCTTAGCTGGGCTTTTTCCTCCACACACTACAGAAATTGCTCGCCAGGGTCAATGGCCTTCATGCTGGGAAACCAGTGGTCAGTTTCCGGTCCTCCTCTTAACTCCAAAACCTGCTCCATTTCATCTTGGTTGATAACTCCATCCTTCCAAGTGACAAGCCACGAACCCTGGAGTCATCCTAGATAACCCATTTCTCTCAGGTCCCTAAGACAGTGTGCTCTACCCCTCAGAATAGATCCAGAATCACCAATTTTGATCCCCTCCACTGCTGCCCCAGTGATACCAGCCATCGTCATCTTTTGCCTGTTAGTGTTCCTGTTTCTTCTCTCACAACCCCACACCCCAGTCGATTTGCAACAGGGCAGCTGGAAGGAAACCTGTCAGACCACGTGGCTCCTGTGCTCCCCACCCCATTTCAGTCAGGGTGAAGTCAATGCCTTCCACGTGGTCCACAAGGCCCGGTGTGATCAGGTCCCAGCTCTACCTCTCTCATCTCTGCTCCTCCTACTTCAGGCAGTCTGGGCTCCTGGCATTTCTTGAACATGTAGGCTGTTACCTATGCTTAGAAAGCTTCAGTAGCCATGTGGCCAACTCCCTCACCTTGTTCAAGTCTCTGCTCAACCCTAACCATCTCCCTTACCCTTGTGCTATTTTTTTCCCATTGGACCTGCGACTTTCTAATGCACTACATAATTTACTCATTTGTTTATCATCTGTTTCTCCCTGTCAGAATGTCAGGTCAGTGTTAACTGATGTATCCTAAGTAGTTACAATAGTGCCTGGCACACGGCAAATACTAAATATCTACTGAATGAAAGAATCAAAGACTTTTGAGAATAAAAGTTCTATGAAGTGCTAAGGACCTAATAAGCTAGTTTACATGGGTCCAGCAGCAAATGCATGTGAAGAAATAGAACCACAGAGAAAAAAGAATTTATCTGAGCTTTTCCATTCCTAGCTATGGCCGCTCAGATGTATGAAAAATACATCTATTTGGGGCCAGGCGTGGTGGCTCACGCCTGGAATCCTAGCACTCTGGGAGGCCGAGACAGGAAGATTGCTCGAGGTCAGGAGTTCGAAAACAGCCTGAGCAAGAGTGAAACCCCATCTCTACTATAAATAGAAAAAATTAATTGGCCAACTAATACATATAGAAAAAAATTAGCCAGGCATGGTGGCACATGCCTGTAGTCCCAGCTACTTGGGAGGCTGAGGCAGGAGGATTGCTTGAGCCCAGGAGTTTGAGGTTGCTGTGAGCTAGGCTGACGCCATGGCACTCACTCTAGCCTGGGCAACAAAGTGAGACTCTGCCCCCCCCTAAAAAAAAACCCCAGAAAAATACATCTATTTGAAATACCTTTATTATTGTTATTTAAAATAAGACACTATGTAGGATACAGCAACATGAACATTTTAGGTGTCAATACATAAGGACCATGACACACATAAACATTTATAAGCACTGACCTTTCTTAAGTATTAACAAATATTCAATATATTGGCAGTTTTGGCATATACCAGATCATATGCAATTTGAAAAAAGATAGCAAAAAATTAGTTAGTAAACTGAAGACGAATAAAAGCTAATCATTCACACGCCCATATGTTTTACCTTTTTACCACAGTAGTCAGGAAATAAAAGTAAAATATGTATAACACTATTAGAATGTATAATAAAAATATAAATAAAAAAATAAATACAAATATAGTAAGCAACCAATACAGTAAAACTTAATATATGAGCAGTTACATAAGAGGCATTTTTATATTGCTATAAATATGATTTTTGGCTTTACTTTTGGCATATTTCCACAGGTTTCTTTAATGCAATTGCTGATTGCTTAAGCTTCTGTATATAGACAAACATAAAATCATTTATTCATGGTTTTAAAATTGTAAGAGTTCTAAAACTAATGTACAATTGGAATGCAAAGAATGATTTTTTTTTTGGTCCACACTGCATATAAACCACCAAAATAAAATTTAGTTTTCCCTAATTATATTTGGAATTATCTTGGCTTTCAAACATTGCAATCTTTAAAATGAACCAAAATATTCATTGATTTCTCTGGTGAATCTGAGCACAGAAATTTAGTCTAGAATCTATTCTCTGAACATGAAATATTAAATCAATAATCTACCTATCTAAATTAAATCACACATATATAATACATACATATATGTATATATATTTTTTAATTTTCATTATGATAAATATCATAAGATAAAAATAAACCTACTTTACACAAGAAAATAGGCTGTATTAACATAGCAGGTTTTGTCATGTAGGTTAACATTTATTTAAATGAAATACTATAAATTCTAAATTTTAGAAACTAATGGAGTAGAGGAGGGGCACTCTAGATTATTTACATAAAGAACTGGCAGATATTACATACTACTTCAGCAGTGGATTTATCTTTTTAATTATTTTGCTTAGTGTAGTAATAAACTAAGTCTTCACTACCTAAGGCATAATGACTGGGCAATAGCACAGAGGTGGCCTGGGAATGCACAGAGCAGCAGGGAAGGCTGGTTTGAGGAATGACTGCATGCTGTGGATGACTCTGTGACCAAATAGGCATATTGATTAACCTTACTTTCATAAACAAATATTTTCACCATGGCCTCTCAAACAAAATGGCATGCTACCCTATACAGAAGTCTACTAGTTATATACAATACCAGATTTAGAATGAGAAAGGCACACTAGAAATGGGCCCTCAACCAAATGTATGTACTTATGAAAATAGAATTATTGGGAAATATAGATAATTCTGGAAAACAGAAATGCTTACAGTAAAGGCATATAGAAAATTAATCAACTAAACACAATTTCAGGAGTGAGAGTTATATTTACAGTTTTGCAGGAGACTTCATTTTTGCTTTTAATTGCAATGGTTTAATGAAGTGGTAGAAACAGTAAATTACATTTAAAAAATAAAAGTTCAACTTATACTTGGATCTCTACTGATTCTTTTTATATGATGATTGTTTCAGGGGAATATTTAATGAAGACATTTTGTTTCTTTTAAATATTACAGCAATTATATTTTATAAATTAAACATCTAAAATGTTTGAAAGCCAAAATAATGTTCATTAGGGAGAAGCCCTATTTCTTTTTCTCTTTTTTTCAAATATTAGAAAAATTATTTGTAATATGGACAAGGTCATTCTGGACATGTACTTCAATACATATATAACCCTAAGCCTGTGCCAGGAACCCAGAATGGATTTGCTAGAGACCAGACCATCAACCCTTGGGCTCAAGCGATGGCAGTCTCTTCCATTTCAGTAGTGGACACAGTGCTTACCCACTGCCTGGCACATAGTAGATGCTAATGAGTATTACTGGAGACAGAAATCTCTACTCCAATAAAAGCTCTAGTTCTGCTGTAAAATAAGTTTTTTTGTTTGTTTATTCAGGGCTTCCTACTAGTTTTCATGTAAAAACAAAAGTGAAATTTAGTGAGCCATCAGAGATATAGTAGACACCCCCAAATATAATATATATACACATTTTTTTCTTATAAAATACTGTACCTTGTGTTAGAGATATATGCTTTAGTGTTTATGGTTGAAATTTTATAATATCTTGACTTTGCCTTAAAATATTACAGCAAAAAATGTATGTCTATGAATAATAGATGCAATAATGGCAAAATATTAATTACTGGTAGATCTGGGTGATAAGTACTTAGAGGTTCTTCATACTATTATCTGTACTTTGAGATTTGAAAATTTTGACAAAAATAATGAATTGAAATAAATTTCAATAAAAATAGTGAGCATAAAATAAAGATATTTTCAATTATCAAAACTACTATAAAAGATCATAGGTATTTTGCAAAGATCTGCACAAGACTACTTACATGACATTGTTATAACAGTGAAAAGTTGTCAATCAATAGGGGACTACTTAAATGCGGTACATCCATATACAACAAAACACTCTGCAAACATTAAAAAAAATTGTCAAGTGAAAAACAGAGGCTCCACAGCAGAAAGTGGAGCCTGATTCCACGCTCATAGGAGTGAGTGTGAGGCTCATAGGAGTGAGTGTGAGAGACATCTGGAAGAGTGTTCATCCAATGTTGAGAATGGTCATTTCTGCAAAGATGAATTGACAATAGTTTTTCACTTTTTTCTTGAAACTGCTCTGTATTACTCAAACTTTTTACAGGAGTATATATTAATTTTATATTGGGGGAAAACTACTTACTATGATTCCTACAATTTTTCTCATGTTATTCTTTCTAGCTGATAGAATGATTTCTTAATTTTAAAAACAGTGTCAGGTCTTAAGTAATTCAAAGTGGGAAAGTGCTATACTTATAAAACAATATGAAATCTAGAATATATTTCATTTATTTCTAAAAACGCAAATAACATTTTATTTATTTATTTTTGAGACAGAGTCTTGTTTTGTTGCCCAGGCTAGAGTGAGTGCCATGGCGTCAGTCTAGCTCACAGCAACCCCAAACTCCTGGGCTCAAGCGATCCTCCTGCCTCAGCCTCCCGAGTAGCTGGGACAACAGGCATGCGCCACCATGCCCGGCTAATTTCTTTCTATACATATTAGTTGGCCAAGTAATTTCTTTCTATTTATAGTAGAGACGGGGTCTCACTCTTGCTCAGGCTGGTTTCGAACTCCTGACTTTGAGCAATCTGTCAGCCTTGGCCTCCCAGAGTGCTAGGATTACAGGCGTGAGCCACCGCGCCTGGCCAAAAAATGCAAATAACATTTTTAAGGCACATACATTTTTTCCTCAACCATCTACTTAGTGCATTAAAATGTAAGGTGTCAAAAACTACATAAAATACAACATAATCTATATAGGAACAGACTTAAATACCTTTTGGTTAATTAAAATCAGGCTGAAAATTCTATTAGTTATAGGAAAAAATAGCATTTGGAAGAGAAAAGAAAATGTTTTCTAGTTAGTACTTAAAGAATTTGAAAGTATTCCAATAGTTCTATGCAAAAAAGTATTTGTGGATATTTTAGCAATATGTTTGTTCTTAGAAAAGAACAGATGGCAGAATGGAATAAAATGTAATTTCCAGATGCATGGTTTTATAAATTCAGCGCTATGGACTCAGCATTAAAGCTCGAGTTTAAATTTAGCTAGCACTACAGCACTTTTAGAGTAAAATTTAATGATTAACCTTTGAAACATTATTTAAAGTTTATTACTTTGGGTAAGAATCTCAAAATGTATATACCTAGGAGCTGTCTGAATATTCTATCCTTAGGCAGTCTACTATTGCTGTATACTCTTCCTAGCCCTGTCACCCTGCCCCTCACCTCCCCAGTGTTTCTTAATTAGTATGTTTCTAGATGATCTTGAGCAAATCCTTCAAATCTCTACTTAGTGGGTTTAAAAGTTTAGCACACAATGAATATCCCCAGATTAAAAACAAAAATTTTTTTTTACCTGGTTCCTAGAAGAATCAGATTGTCTATTATGGACAGTATTGGGAGGATACTTCTTTGAAGTTTTTGAAGAGTCCGGACATGATTTCCTTTTAGACCTGTGGGCTGTTCTGTTTACTATCAACCTGGGATCACTTGCATCAACTTCTTTAGCTTGATTTGCTGATTGCTGCTGTAGCACTTGGGGATATTCTGTTTCTGCATCTGATTCAAAAATGTGTGGTTTTCTTTCCAGTTTTAGTGACTCATGGCCCTTCCCTAAAATTTGTGTTATATATTTGCATGTTAAATTGTCTTTTCCATTCATTTGGAAGTCAACAGTACTTTTTATCACCCCTAAATTATTTGTCATATGAAATACTGCACTATTATATAGTTGTTTACTTTCATTTAAACTCACATTTGATTTTCCATTAGAAGAGGGAAATTTTATCATATCTTCACAGGACTCAGCATTTTTTTCTTGCAGAAGTCTGGAACTCTTCTGGTTTAAATTTTTAGCATGCATTGGAAAGTTACTATTAGATCTTTTTTTCACAGCTGGGCCTAAATTCAGTTTGTCATCCTGGATCATACTAGTTTTAAGTGAAGACAATTTAGATTCTGTAACAACATGCTGTTTTCTTTTCAGGTTGCCAAGTGCTGAGATATTTTTGTTCATCTGTAACAATCTATTTTTGAAAACTGGTATGAATTTAGGGGTGATGTTATTTTGAGAGCTAAGATTTGTATGTTGAACTTGAGTATTTTCTCTGTTGGGCTTCAATGCTTCCAAATGTACTTGTGGTACCTTGTTAGATGGGGATTTCTTTCTGTCCTGAACAGACTCTGGCTGGAGAGACAGAGCTGAGAAAATGCCTGACTTTGGCTGGCTGACCGAAAGCTCCCCCTTGTGGTCTGCTGCTATTGAACATGGTAGAAGACTTTGAGCCAAGGTAGGTTTTATGGAAGCGGCTTGAGTCAGAGATGCCCTGAACATTCTTTTAGTGGTCAAATTGGGTGGCTTGACTTTGTTTTCCTGAAAGGATATATATCAAGAGATTTTAAAAATGAAATAATGTCCTTAATGGAAAAGAAATAAAATATACAATATCCTCCAAATAAAAATATAAAGTGACACTATCATATATAGAATAGGTAAAGAAAAACAAAATAAAAATGGGCCTTCTGGTGGAAATATATATACTTCTTATGGTTTGCATCCTTCTTCAGATACAATCCTTTGAAGATAATATTTTAAGATTAAGGTATACTCTACAGTCATATGAATCAACTATAAAAACTACACACACAAGTACCCACTATCCTCCAAACATGCTCATGCTGCTGTCCTGCTCAGATGGATGTCTCCCTCTTCTCTCCTTCTTCTCTCTTTGATCAAGTTGTGTCTTTCTCTAAAACCTCAAAGTCCCAGCTCCTCTGAATCCTCCACCAATCAAAGCAGCATAGTGTGACTGCTTCTCTCAACTGTCCAAGGATCTGCTATCAGTTAAATCCCATTTGTCACAAAAAATAACACAAGATGAGCACTTGTATCTTTTAGTGCACATGTTCCATCTCCCTAAGTTGATACTATATTCCTGGAGGGTAACAACCATGACTAATTCTTACATCCTTCAAAGTTACTCACAAATACTTGGTGAAAGACATCAAATTAATGGAGGTTGAGGTGGCTGCACCTACACTGTTCCTTCAAGAACAATTGGGGTTTTGACTATAGGGCAGGGGCTGTCTGTGTTTTAATCATGTTTATTTTTTCATTGCCTACCTCAGTGCCTGGTACCAGTAATTCAGCAAGTACTCATCAAAAAAACTTTTGTCATCAAAAAATTTGTCATCAGAAAAATTTTTGTCAGAAAATAGAGAGGCAAGTGTTTATGGTCTTTTTTTAAAAAAAAACTATGATTAATATAAAATTTATCATTTTAACTATTTTTAAGTGAACAATTCAGTGGTTTTAAGTACATTCACCACTGTACTTGTGTTATATGACCATCAGCACTATTTCCAAAACTTTTTCTTCATTCCAAACAGAAACTCTGTACTACGTAAACAATAATTCCCTATTTCCCCTTCCTTCCAACCCCTGGTCACCTCTATGCTACTTTCTATCTCTATGAACTTGCCCATTGTAGGTACCTCATATAAGTGGAATTATACAATATTTGTCTTTTTGTGTCTAGCTTATTTCTCTAAGCATAATGTTTTCAAGGTTCATCCATGTTGTAGCATGTTTCAGAATTTCATTCATTTTTTTTTTCTTTTTTTTTTTTCTTAACAATGCTATGACTGTGCTAGAATTTCATTCATTTTTATGGCTGAATATTCCATTGTATTTATATGCCACATTTTTTATCTTTTCATCTGTTGATGGAAAGTATTAATAGTCTTTTAAAATACTTATCTATTGAGTCCTAATGTCTGGAAAAGAGTGTGGCAATAATCTGAAACGCTGGACATGGAATTCTTTTCTCACCTTCCCACATCAAAGACAGAGATTCAAAGTTTGACAAATTTTTTTAAACTGCTTGGAATAATATACAAACCAAAACAACTGTTTTTTCTCTCTCCTGCTGGAGGTTCAATTATTGAATGAAGTTGAAAAGAGAATGGAGACAGTTTTGAGAGATCAGAGTTGTAAACAGGCACAGGAAAAGTAAGAGACTGATCCAGTTATCTATTAGGCATAACAAATCACATCAAAATTTAGTTGCTTAAAAGCAGTAATCATTATGTTATGATCTTTCATTAATCTTGGGGTTGGCTTGGCTTAGCTTGGGGTCTCTCATGTTGTGTAGTTAGATAACTCTGGGGCCAGAGTCACCTTGGAGTCACTTCCTCATTCACCTGTGATGGTTGATGCTAGCTGTTGGCTGCAATACCTATAGGTAGTCTCTTCACGTGACAGGGATCCTTTACAGATGGCAGTGGGATTCCAAGAACAAATGTCCCCAGAGAGACCTGGTGGAAGCTGTTTCTAATGACCTAGCCTCAGAGTCACATAGCATCACTCTGCCACAGGCTGTTGAGACTTAGGACACAGACCCACACCTCGGTGGGAGGAGGGTTGTCGCTGGCAGAAGAGCGTGTGGGTTAGGCGATCTTATTGTGGCCACTTTGGAAAATGCGGATGTCACAGAGCAGTCTGTCTCTAGCCAGAACCATGTGTTCTCTCACTACCTGCAAGCCTCCAGTGTAGACAGCACCAGTGGCCCACAGAAGGGCTGGTACACTTTGCAAAGGAGCTGCACACAAACCTGACTTAGGGAAGCTAAAGGAGGAGATGTGGCAGGAGCTACGGCCAACTCCTGGTCCATGCTGACTACGTGTGCCAGCAGTGCCTAGGGAGTGTGCATTGCAATGGCAGCCTCACACAGACTGGAGCATCAGCATGGCTCTTACTTCACCTCTACTTTCTCCATTATGTGCCACCCTAAGCCAGAACTATGTGGAGAAGGGAATTCATGGAAACCTATTTCTAGAATACTTAAATTGACATAATAGAAAGTTGCCACAGAGAACAATACTCTTCCCACCTTGACTATTCTTAGGAAAAGTGGGAAGTCTGCAAGAAAATATTGGGCTAGGTTTGAGAGTGATGCTGAAAATAGGTGAATGGGGCTCATTTCTTATCTGAAGATTTCTCAAATTGGAGGCTTACCATGCCACTGGGACAAGATGACACCTGTCTTAGTTTGTTTGGGCTGCTATAACAAAATACCAGAAATTTGATAGCTTATAAACAATAGAAATTTATTTCTAACCATTCTGGAAGCTGGGAAATCTAAGGTCCCGGCAGATCTTTCTTGGGCTTCTTTTATAAGAGCACTAATCCAATTTATGAGTGCTCCACCTCCTAATACTTAATCATCTCCCAAAGGCCCCACTTTCTAATAGCATCATCTTGGGGGTTAGGATGTCAACACTTGAATTTTGGAGGAATGCAAACATTCAGACCAGAGCACACCCTTCTCTAATTGCCTATATTTTCAGGGAGTAACAAAAGAAGACCCAGTCAGTTTTCATGACCCTCAAAGAAGGAATACAGAGGCCAGTGGAGGAGTAATTGCTGGCTTATTGCCCCTTGACATTGCTTGGCTGAGTGAAAAAGCATGCATCAGGAAGGGGTTTGTATTGTTTACTAGGGCTGCCATAACAAAGTGCCACAAGCTGGGAGGCTTAAGCAACAGAGATGTGTTATCTCACAGTTTTGAGGGACTAGAAGTCTGAAATCAAGGTGTTGGCAGGGTTGATTCCTTAAAGGGCCATGAATAAAGGATCTGTTCCAGACCTCTCTCCTTGGCTTGTAGATGGACATCTTCACATTCCCTGGCATTTTCATTCTCTGTGTGTTTGTGTCCAAATTGTCCCTTTCTATAAGAACACCAGTCATATAGGATTAGGGGCCCACCCCACTCCAGTATGACCTCATCTTACTGCAGGGACCCTATTCACATCCTGAGGTCTTAGAGTTAGGACTTCAACATATGGATTTGGGGAGACACAATTCAACTCATAACAGAGTTTGATATATACCTCTGGAGAGAGTGAAGATGGCATGTGGCTATTTTTCTGAAGACCCTCTGTACAGGGAGCTGGGGTAAAGCTAAAAGTGTCTAATAAAAACCTTATACACCATCTTGTGAAGATACCATGTAAGCAGAGACCACCACCAACAGACCAACCTCGGTCACGAAGTGAAGGCCCTAGATTTCAGTTTCTTGAGCAAAAAAGAAAAAAGAAAAAAAAAAACAATGAAGTGAAGGCCTTCCCCCAGCCCTTCCCCCTCCCCAACCCCATAACTCTGCAATGAATAGGGAGGACTGGTGTTCAACTTCCACTCCACCTTCCTCCTAATGCTCCTGTCTGGACTAGAGTGTGGAAATCTAAAATTGACATTTTGTCCTTTGTAGCTAGGGTTCCAGTGTGACTTAGAACCAGCCAATCAGATGCACTCATAATGTACTTAAAAGAAGGAAGTAAGGTCAAGCCATATTTCTGTTATTTTGCTGAAAAGCTTAATTATAAATTTCTTTGATTCTCAGTTGCAGAATTAGCAGAAGCTCAAGTATAGGTGTCCAGAGCAGAGCATAGGGCAGCCATTCTCCTGCTACAGAGAACACTAGGCACATGTACCAATGCACTTACCCACACACCACTGCCCTCACCCTATGTAAGCTTTCCCTGCACGGAGATGCTATCATGAGAAGGGTTCTTAAATTTGACTGAAATTCTACTTCAAAGAAATGTTTTGTCAGAAGTGACTGGGTCACCTTGAAGTATCCAGACTGAATTATTTTCCATTTGATGAAAAAGGGCATGAGAACTAAGTTGAAATCAATTTTAGAAAAGCAAAAAACACCCATGTTTTGGACCCTTAGGTTCTATTAACTGTAGTAATGTTTAAACATCGTATCTGCTACATGAGATACCAAGAGAAAACTTATAGATTCATATAGGAATAAATTACTTGTATTCTGATATAAAGCTTTTCTGGAATATGTGTTTTGTGTCTGAAATATGTTTATATTCACACCCTATTTCTTCTTCATCTGTCTCTCAGAAATATACAACTGGTGAAAATAATTTCTAGGAGTTTGTTTTGCCCCCTATCCTGTCAATATATTATTTACTCATTCTTTCAATTTTTAAAATACAATAAATAGCCCGAAGAGAGGAACCTCTAGGTTTATATTCAAAATTTATAAAAAAGAATATCAGGGAGACCTATGTAAATAGCACATGAGATCATAAATAATTCACAGAACCTAAATATACTTAAATGGTCAACAAACCAAAGCTTTGTGAAGTCATAAGTCAATTAAAAATATTCTTCAGTATATCATTTTTCTGCTAGGTGTTATTGGATAACCTAACTTGGGTGACTTTTAATTTCTATAATTTACATACAATTTATGTAATTTTATACATTAACATAAAATTATAGAGGAAAACCAAAAGCATTAACCTATTTTAGATATAAATAGATCTCTCTTGGAGATTTAGTATTAAAGTAATAATTAAGTATAATTACTTGAGAAATTAAGCAAATTACTGATCAAATGTGTTTTATCTATTAAAATCTGGTTTGGTGCATTGAACCACCTCAGTGTGTTTCTTGCTTAAAGTTGAACCAGAATTTAATGAAGCTTAGATATAACCAGAGGTTTATAGGAAATATGGAGTTTAGAAGAATATGTTAATTTTAAATGACATAACACAAAGAAGCACTGAAATTCAGAATATGGGCCATTCTTCAGGGCAAATGATCTAGTTTTTCTAGCAAATAACTGACATAAATAAAAGCAGAGAGGGTTTAGAATGTTATAAAGAAACTTGAGAGATATAATAAATGAAATTATGCAGACCTTGTTTGGATTCTGATTTAAACAAAACTCCTAAAAATAAATCTTTGAGATAAATGAGGAATTGCAGTGTGAACTGGTACATAACAATATTAAGGAACTACTGTTAATTCTGTTAGGGGTAATAATGGCATGGAGGCTATTTAAAAATGTTTTTTAAAAGCTCTTATGAGACAGAAATGCACACTACAGTCTTCACAGGTGAAATAATGTCACAAATGGGATTTATTTTAAAAGCTTCCAGTTTACCCCTTACCCAAAAATATGTCAAAGGGAAATTAGATGATAGGCACATGAAAGGTTATTATACTAATCTCTTTTATATATCTTTGAAAATTTCTATAAGTTTAAAAAAACTTAGTTTGGCTAACCACTCCTGTTACTTTAGTTTTTTTAAAAAAAATAGTGGAGTTTTATCAAGTAGTCTGCTCAATTTATTTTTCATTTTTTAAACTTAACTTTTTAACACTGCATGAATGTTAGAGCTAACATGTATGTAGTTCAGTAATAACAACTAACATTTACTGAGAGCTAAGTATTACACAAGAAACTATTCTAAGTATTATCTCATTATTCCTAAGAAATAATCCCTATGAAGTAAGTACTGCAAAAGACACGACCCCCTTCAAGGAAGGACTTGCTGCCCCCTGCTGCTGGGACTGCCTTGGTCATAGAGAGCCACTGTCCAAGGACATGTCTGTCTCAGGGTGGCCCAAATCAAATTACAACACTGGAAGGGTTATAAAGGCCTGGCTATTTTGGCTAATGCAGAACAACTCTGATGAGCCATTTTAGTCTCAGAGCTCCTCAGAAGGTTGGCCAAGGCTATCTGGTGCCTGCCTTGCTTTTCACTTCTCCTTTTACCCAATCTTGCTTTCTTCCTGCCTTCCATGCAGTTTGCTTTGAAGGGCAGTCCCTAAGAAACATCACATGCACTAGACTCCTAGAGAACGCAATCTGTGACAAGTGCTATCATTACCACCACCACTAGCCCCCACACCATTTTACAGCGGAGGAAACTGAGGCAAAGAGAAATTTAAAAACTTGCTAAAAATTACACAAGTAGTAAGGGGTTCAAATCTAAGCTGCCTGTTCCTAGGGCTTGAGCTCTCAGCCACAAAACTAAACTTCTTCAAATTCAGGATTAAGAATCTGACTATCTGGGTTTCAATTCTAATTTTGTAATGTATTAATCGTGTGGCTTTGGTTAAATTATTTGGATGCTCTGAGCTTCCGTTTCCTCTTCTGCAAAATTAAGAAAACAATTCTTTATCCAAAAGATCAATTTTGATGATTTAAATGAGATAATACACATAAAAGCAGCTGGTATACAGAGCGCACTCAATATGATTGAGTAGGATAAATTCTTTTTGTCAGGAGTAATATGAAGATCAGAATTTTCAATTAAGTGTTACTTGACATTTATGAAGCAAATTTTCACAAGTACATCATTCTGATTCACTAACTCTAAAACAGACATGAGCTGAAAATATTAGGTACTCTATAAATATATTCAATAAAAATGGATGATGTAGTGACATATCTTTTTCCAAATTCCTCAGATTAGAACTTGGCCAGCAACTAAACTTTAAAAAAATATTATGTCTGGACAAGGTTTTAATACTGTCATAAAGATGTCAATTGGTATCTGTCTACTCACACTCCCTTCTAAGGAAATGGCCTTGTCCTTGCCCCCTGATGTCTAGGTTGTCATATTTTTATACCATTTTTCTCCAACTAATAGTAAGAGGACTTGGCCCCTGATCAGGAAGACAAACAATTCCAAATTCCAATTTACATGTAGATAATAACTCAGAATACAAAACGCAAAAGCTGAAAGTAGGAGAAACAGACAAATCCACAATCATAGTAAGAGATTGGAACCACCTCTTGGCATCTGATAGATTATAATACATTTAAGCTACAAACACATAAACAAAAGATAACTAGAAAATTTCCATATTTTAGAAAATTAAGAAATATACTTTAACTCATGGGACAAAAGAGAAATCCAAGTGAAAATTGGAAAATATTTTAAATAATAAAGAAATAAAAATTTTAAAAAGACACCATTCACAATAACATTAAAAAATATGAAACCCCTAGGAATAAGCATTATAAAAGTACATAAGACTCCCCTATACATAAAATTATAAATTATTATTGAGATAAATTAAAGAAGATATATTTAATGGGGGAAGAAATACACAAGATTGATGAATCATAAGACTCAATGAAATTCTAACCAAAATCTCAACAGGCTCTATGTGTGTGTGTGTGTGTATGTGTGTGTGTGTGTGTGAGACAGAGTGAGTGTATGTGTGTGTGTAACTTGATAAGTTAAAACTAAACATATATGGGAATACACAGATAAAGAATAGCTAAGATACTTTATCAGATCTCAAAAATATCATAAAATTTAATGTTATCACAACACTATTTATAATAAATATAAAATTTAAGATTTATTAAGATAATTCTAAAAGTGTGGTATTGGTGCAAGAATAATCAAACAGGCCAGAGAAAGAGATTAGACAGCCCAGAAACAATGCCACACACCTAAGACACTTGATTTATGATAAAGGTAGTACTGCAAAATATTGGGAGGAAATGTATTAGGGAAAAAATGTAGCAGAGAAAGAATGGTCTTTTTTTTTTCTTGGACAAATGGATATACATATTAAGAAAGAAACCTGATTCCCTACATCATGTCATATTATAAAAATAAATTTCAATTGCATTGTAGACCTAAAGGTGAATGGAAAACAATAAACCTTTTATTAGTTGATAATACAGGAGAATATCTTCATGAATTTGGGGTATAGAAATATTTTTAAACAGGACACAAAAAGCACCAAACATAAAAAATACTGATAATTTTGACTACAAACGAAGGCTCTGCCAAAAGACACCAAGATACCATTAAGAGAGTGAGAAAGTATATCACAGAATGGAAGAAGCTAATTGCATATAACTAATAAAGAACTATGCCTGGCATATGTTAAGAATACCTACAAATCAATCAATCAAACAAACAAATATAACATAGAACAATGAAAGAGAGGCACTTTAAAAAAGATACCCAAATGGCCAACATATATATGAAAAGATACTCATTAAATACACCTACTAGAATGGCTGAAATTAAAGACTGACAATACCAAATGTGGGCAAGCATGTAGAGCAACATAAATTCTTCTAGACTGCTTGGGTGGAGGTGAGGGGAAGTACAAACTAGTACAACCACTTAGGCAAATAGTCTGGCATAGCTCCTGAAGCTGGAAATATACATACCAATTCCACTCCTGGAGCTTTCATGGACATGTGTACCAGGAGATACACACAAGAATGTTCACTGCAGCATTACTAGTGATAACCTCCAAACAGAAACAATCCAAATATCCTTCCATAGTATTCTAAATAAACTGTAGCATAATCATATAATAAAATACTACATAAAAATGAAAATGAACTGACTATAGCTAAGTAGAACAACATGGATGAAATGTCACAAACATGATGCTGAGCCTAAAAAGCCAGACACAAAGGAATCCATACTCTATGATTTCTTTTACATAAAGTTCAAAAACAGGCAAAACTAAAATATTATGTTTAAGGATACATACTTAGTTGATAAAAACAAAGAAAACAAGGAATAATTGCCATAGAAGTCAGGATAGTGGTTACCTTTTGGGAGGAGAGGAGTGATGACTAGGAAGGTGCAAGCTGGAGTCTCCTAAAGTCCTGGCAATGTTCTATTTTTTTTTAATCTGGGTAACGGTTACATGGGTGTTTCATAAGCATTCATTAAGCTGTACACATATGTACTTTTCTGTATGTGTGCCATATGTCACCATAAGAATGGATTTTAAAAATGCAGAAGGGTCAAACTCAGCAGGAAATACTTCTCTCTCCCTGAAAGTTTCCTGCCTCAGTAAAAACAAAAATTCTGAATCTGATTTCACATTAAATCTTCTACTCCTTTGTTCTGACAAAGTCTGGGGTATAGGCCAATCCCCACATGGACATTTCTTCTTTAACTTGTCCATCAGCAGACAGCCAGTCATACTAACTTCCTAAAGATGTCAGACAGGAGCCAGACACAGCCCACTGTTTTGCTCATACTGCAGGAGGCACACCTGAAGTGCTGAGTGGTTCCATAGAAGCCCTTCACTTACTTGACTTGGCGAGGGGAAGTCATCTCACCTTCCACTTAATTGAGCTTATACTGACAGCACAGCATCTCCAAATAAATACTCTACAAAATTCTCTTTAATTTCCAACAACCCAACTCCTTTATATCCTTGATTTATATCCTTGAATGAAACATTTCAGTAAACTACTACTACTACTATAATACTGTGTTGAATACAATAATAACAAACAGCAGTGATAAGTGGCTAAGTACAATAATAATAATAAACAGCATTAGGGTAACACTGAACTTAGAGAAAAGAACTACTACACAATGGATTGGGCGTTCCACTCCAGAAGGCAAGAGATTCAAGAAAAATTGGTGGATAGTATATCTTGGAGAACTAGATAGGATAAGAAATCTCTTACCTGTATGTGAGGTTTAGTTAGTTCTTGTGTGTAGTAGCATGGTTTATTTGTCATCTTTATGGGGAATCCACATATATGGGGCAGTTTAGATTTTAAATCTGAAAGGAAACTTTTCAACACACCTTCCAAATCTACCCTTGGAAAGAACTGTATGGGCTGACTTCTGATGCAGCTGAGAGGGTATCTGCACAATGTTAAAGAACAATGACAAATATTTTGTAAATAAGAGATAGAAACTTATATGGGATTTTTAAAAGTATTAAAATAGCAATGTTAAAAACACACGCATAAGTAAATACTATTTTTCATATTGTTTATCTGATACTATCCAAAGCTGAAAAGCATACTTTTTCACCGGGATCTTCATTCTTTCTATTCAAACACTCACAAGCAAGAAAATTCATTATGCCCTTATTATGTGCCCTTTTAAATGGACTGGACAACTAAGACATTCCAAAAACAAGTTACAAGGAAGATACTACGACCCTTCCAGATTATAAAAATAAATGTTACACGAAACAATGAACAGGTTACATGTTCCAAAACAGTAAACCTCAGGACACTAAAACAACACATATAGATTGTATTCAACTCCAAAAGCATTCCTTTGAAAACAGCAGTTATTAATTAATACTTCTTCTGATGAAAACTATTCTGAAGATTTGGAATAATATCTTGGCATCTAACAAAAGGAAATAACTGATAGATGTCAACCTCAGTTTTACTATTAATATCTGGATTAGGAAACAATGGAATGCAGAAAGAGAATACTATGGCTCTTCCTTCTTCCATTTTTAAACTCCAGCAGGTGCACATACAAAGGCTAAGAGACAAGAATGGTGAAATTAGTACTAATTAAGATTTAACAGTTTCACTTGAGTATTTGTGCTCTTTTTGTGTGAAGTTTTTAACTATTAATAAATATATTTTAACAAATCAATGGGGCACATTAAGTGCAAATCAAATCCTCTAAACTTTGCTTATAAAATTAGATAATCTCCCCAAAAGAAAAATCTTTGTCCAACAACCCATTCCTTTAATTTAACCCTTTCAATAATATCCACAATGCCACTGGAGGGAGCTCTTAGCTAGGGAGAATCATATGATTGGTGCCTTTGTATTTGGAAACATAAACTTTTTTTTCTACCTAATATTTTTGTTCTCTAAATTGTTAAAATAATGTTAAAAAGAAACTAGCCTTATTAAGTTCACTCATCTTCAAATAAAAATAGGAAATCCTAAGCAAAACAAAAAAATACATGTGTAGATAAGCATTATAATAGAGGGAAAAGTACTGTAGCTTCATTTAAACATATAGAAGGTTGAAAATAATGATGACAAGACGATGGGGGCGAGACTAGATCATAAGGTGGGCAGGGACCACCTGCTACAACTGGTGCATAAAGGATACGTGAAGGTCCTTTCTCCAATCATTTTGAAATAGATGTTGCAGTATATTTTAATATTTCCACAATCTTCTGGAAGTTTATAGCCATACTAAAAATTAAGAACAACATTTAAAACATCTTAGAGAAAACTAAACTTAGGTTAAGATAAAAGAAATAAAATCAAACAACTGCTAACATAATTTATATTTCCATTCCTTACCAGGTCATCCCAGTGCATCTTGAAATCTTCATATGATTGAAAAGGACAGTCAGGAGGAGTGGCATGAAGAATACTTATAATTTGTCCCATTTTCATACTATGAAAAATGAGAATTGGTACGGTATCATGAGCCAATGCTTAAATACAGTTTGATAAGTTAACTATGTGATTTAGAAAGTGTTCCAAAAGATTTAGCAACTATCTTACTAGCCATATATAAATAAACTATTTGCTCCTAGTTTCAAACACACATTGTACTAATTGTTTTGTTTCAATTGACAAAACTGTATATACTTATTGTGTATGTGTATGACATGATATTTTGAAATACATATACATTGTGGAATGGCTAAATCAAGCTATTATGCATTATCTCACATGCTCATATTTTTTGTAGTCAGAGAACTTAAAATCTACTTTTAGTGATATTCAAGAGTACATTAACTATAGTCACCATGCCATACAATAGGTTTCATGAACTTATTCCTTCTATCTACCTGAAATTTTCTATCTCTTGACCAACATCTCCCCAATCCACTCGCTCACCCCCACCTTCCTACCCCCTGGTAACCACCATTCTACTCTCTGCTTCTATGAGTTCAAATTTTTTAGATTCCAAATATAAGTAAGATCATACAGTATTTGTCTTTCTGTGCCTGGCTTATTTCACTTAATATAGTGTTCTCAAGACTCATCTATGTCATTACAAATGACAACATTTCCTTCTTTTCTAAAGCTCCTATTCCATTGTACGTATATGCCACCTTTTCTGTATCCATTCATCTGTTGACAGACACTTAGGTCGAGTCCCTATGTTGGCTGTTGTAAATAATTCTGCAATGAACACAGGAGTGTAGATCTCTCTCCAACATACTGATTTCATTTCCTTTGCATATATGCCCAGTAGTAGGATTGCTGGATCATATGGTAGTTCTATTTTTAATTTTTTAAGGAAGCTCTATATTGTTTTCCATAATGGCTATACTAATTTACATTCTCACCAACAGTGTACAAAGGTTTCCCTTTTCTCCACATCCTTGCCAACATATGCTATGTCTTGTCTTTTTAATAGCCATTCTAACAGGTTTGAGGTGATATCGTACTGTGGTTTTAATTTGCATTTCCCTGGTGATTAGTGATATGGAGCATTTGTCATATATCTGTTGGCCATTTGTATGTCTTCTTTTAAGAAATGTCTATTCAGGTCCTTTGCCCATTTTTTAATCAGGTTGTTTCCTTGATACTGAGTCATTTCCCTTATAAGATGTGTGGTTTACAAATATTTTATCCCATTCTATAGGTTGTCTCTGAACTCTGTTGGCTATTTCCTTTGCTGTGCAGAAGTTTTTTAGTTTGATGTAATCCCATTCGTCTATTTTTGCTTTTGTTGCCTGTACTTTTGGGATCATGTTCAAAATCATTGCCCAGACTAATGTCATTGATCTTTTCCCCTGTATTCTTCTAGTTATTTTATAGTTGCAGGTCTTAAGTCTTTAATCCATCTTAAGTTGATTTTTGTATATGGTGTGAGGTAAGTCTCCAATTTCATTTTTCTGCACGTGAATATCCAGTTTTCCCAATACCATTTATTGAGAGAAACTCCTTTCTCCATTGTGTGTTCTTGGGACCTTTATTCAAAATCAACTAACCATAAATGCATGAATGTATTTCTGAGCTTTTTGTTCCATTGCTCTATGAATCTGTTTTTATGCTAATACCATACTGTTTGGATTACTATAGCTTTGTAATATAGTTTTAAATCAGAGGATGTGATATCTCCAGCATTGTTCTTTTTGATCAAGAGTGCTTTGGGCTATTTGGGGTCTTTGTAGTTCCATGTGAAGTTTAGGATTGTTTTTCTAGTTCTGTGGAAAAAATGTAATTCTAATTTTGACTGGGATTGCATTGAATCTGTACATTGATTTGGATAGTATGAACATTTTATAATAACAATACTATTAATACTTCTTCTAATCTATGAACATAGTATATCTTTCATTTCTCTTTTATTCTAATTTTTCATCAGTATTTTACACTGTTCAGCACAAAGGTCTTTCTCCTCTTTGGTTAAATTTATTTCTAAGTTTTTTTGGTAGCTATTATGAATATAATTGTTTTCTTGATTTCTTTTTAAGATAGTTTGTTGTCAATGTATAGAAATGTTACCAAATTTTATGCATTGATTTTGTATGCTACAACTTTACTGAATTTATTAGTTCTAACAAGTTTTTGGTGAAGTCTTTAGGGTTTTCTATACATAAAATCATGTCACCTGCAAAAAGGGACATTTAACTTTCACCTTTATAATTTGAATGCCTTTTATTTCTTTTTCTTGTCTAATTGATCTGGCTTGGACTTCTAGTATTATGTTTGAATAGAAGTATTGGGAGTGGCATTCTTGTCTTTTTCCTGATCTTAGAGAAAAAGCTTTTAACTTTTCACCATGAGTATCTGTTAGCTGTGGGTTTGTCATACATGGCCTTTATTTGTATAAAATCTTAACAACTAGACTTGTTAGGAAAAACTAAATTGTTAAAATGTGCCATTTATAAACACAAACTAATGACTAATAAATTTTTGCCATACAAAGGTATGCCTGTAACTATTAGACTTGAGGGAAAAGTCTGTTAGGAGTTGAATGAATTAGAGTAAAATCTATGTTCCTTATCTATCTCTTCCCTGCTTCAATGATTAAATTATTGTGTGTAGTCTACTAGAGTTCTTTTTCCTAAGTTAAAATTCCATTTCAATAGTTCTGTTTATATTAGTAACAATTCATTTTTTTCCTGAAGATAGTACAAACTTAAAACTCAGCTTATATCAAATGATAAGTCATAATTATTAGGTATAGGTTTCTAAGGTATTACTGATTTTATTATAACTATCAACTTATAATGAGAAATCTAGAAATAGCACTGTTTTTGAAACTAAATCTAATAATAATATAAATGTATAATAAAATTATCTTAGTAATTTGATAAAAAATGTATGGATTCTGTAAGTATGACAATATTGTTTCAATATCTTTTAAAGTTATAATTCAGTTTTTCAAATTCATCAAAATGGTTTATACTTTTGTACATATCCATGTTGAGGAAGCAAAATAAGAGGAACTCACCCTAGATACTACAAATTGAAATCTCACCTTGGCAAAACGTAGCACCACTTGCTTAAAATGGAATGTCTCTCAATGACAGCATTCTTGTTAGTATGAAAATCCTTTATAATACTCTGAGAAATATCAAATTCTTTTAGCTTTTAATAGAAATGAGATTTAAGGCATAAGTCCTCAAAGAATTTGTCAAAGAAACATTTAAAAAATACTTATATTTGTTATACTCTGTTTAAAGTAGTTTTAAAGACAAGTTGTATTGAATCATGCATAACCACTTTATATAACATAATCAATGTTGCAGCTCACCCTGTGTCTCTTCTATACATTATATTAAGTATTTTATGCTTTCCCTCTTACCCTTCAAATCAAAACTTCTATTCTGTACTTATTCCACTGGCTTTCAGGGTTTTTATTTATTATGTTAATTTGTAGGAAGCTGAATCTCTTCCAAAGGCATGTATTTACATATTAGAAGAATAACTTCTTACCTCAATTTTTTTACATTTTTTTCCTTTTTATAAATGGAGAACAAATAAGGGAGTTATACTTCTTTTTGGTCTTTTAGAGGGGAGAGAACAGAGCCAACACTCCATTCTTCTTTTATATCCCCTCCCCCTCTCTCCTAGAACATTTCTTCCCTGTTCCTCAGGTTCCCTACCTAAACAGTATTTAAGTTTGTATTTAGCCAACCAGAGTTTGCTAATTATAGTTCTCTCACCCTGAAAAGTCCCCCTGGAAGCATTTTCTTACAGTTATTAAAGACAGAGAGACCCTAAGGGAGGTGAAAATTAAAGTATTAATGGGTAAAAAGATACTACTATATTAAGATTACAGAGAATAGTTCACAGTCCCTCACCCCTGTTTTAATCTAGCACCATAGCATCTTTTGGGCAACAATCTTCAAGCCTCATTGCCTACTAATTTTCAATAACTCCAACTAAGCTGACCAACTTTTTATTACCTGGACAAGCCATTTTAATGATATACTTTCTTAAAGCACTGCCCCCACTCTTATTTATTTGACTCCTACCAAGAAGGGGTCCTATAGACCTGGATCTAGAACTATCTCCTCCATATCCAGTGACTGATCCTTCTCTGAATTCCCTTGGCATTTGGTAAGACTAAGGGAGATGGGGGAGCAGGGAGTAGCAGAAAAACATGAATGCAGAAACAAGAGATAAGATGTGCTGGTTATGCTGTGAGGTAAGAGAGCAAGGATACTCAGAATGAGAAAGGACATATTTTCCTGTGCAAAAGAGATAAATCTTGCACTGTAATATACTGTGCATAAGAGATCAGCTGCCTAAAGTGAGTGATAAAAAGATGGTTAGGGCAGGGATGGCTATGAATGTCAGAAAAGACTGGTTGCAAAGGAATGAGTAAACTGAGGGAAAATAGAACCTAAAATTGAATTCAAAGGAGGTAAGTATCAGTTTCAAATGTTTGTAGCTTATCAGTTCTAACATATACCTATTTACATAGCTTGAGTTTATATCTTTCTGGGTATTTTCTATACCATTCAGAGACTCAAACCAATTGGTGCAGGGATCTCTATGTTATTAGCACTATTTGTGGAAACTGGCCTTTCTCAACACAGATTATTCTAAAGGCTGGCAAACTACCCAACTGTTTACCACATACCCCAAGAGACTGCTAACCCTTTGTATTTATTTACTTAGCAAATATTTATAAAGTGTCCTTATGGGGCCAAAATCACATTGAAAAGCAGGTAACCAATAAATATTACTTCCTCTTCATAATGCCAATCTAAAGAATTTGGACTTAGTTTTCTGTAGGCAATGTTGAAATACTAGAGGTATTTAGATTGGGAACTTTTGTTTTAGAAAGAGAATTCTTGTTTGTCAGGTTTGGCAGTCTTGCTCTGTGTTCTCAGTTTTTGGTGTGCTCATGGCTGAAGAATGACCAGACACACCAAAGTAAGCCAAACATGAGATGAAATTTATTGAGAGGGAGCAAGATAGGATTATAGAGCAAGAACAATATATATGTTCACAGAGCAAGATACCTATGCCATAGATGACGACCGGATCCCTTGTCATAGCAAAAAGAGAGAGCTTGATTATGGTCTGGGTCTTGTTTTATATAAGTGCCTGGATTGGGACCTCCCGTGGTTCAGACATCATCATGGGACCACTTTGATTGGACAGTTGGGAGTTACACAACCTGAGTCTTACTACACATGCAGATCTCCCATGAGCTTCTCTGAAAGCCCATTTGGGATGTGCATCCCAACTGGGATGAATGAGCACCATGTTTGGTCCAACTCCTCCCTCTTCCTTGAGAGCTGGTCCTGCATTCTATCACGTTAGGAACAGCGCCTGATCTTCCAAGGGAGGCCTGTGGTTTTCCACTACTGCCATAAGTGGGTAGGTAAATCTGCCTAATTCTAGGATTCAGATAAACCACGTTCTCCAATAGCTGTTTTTACCTTTCCAGTAATAAACAATATGACCATTTATCCCAGTTCAGACATGCTAGGCCAGGAACCCATCAGGTTAGTGTCCCTTTCACTCTTAGAAGTGTCCCATTTTTTATGATAAATTATATTCTCCCTCTAGTAATAAAGGTGGTATTCTGATCTCTATGCTCACTCATACGTGACAATCTCTAAATTGGTTCAAACTCAAGTGCCAAATACAGAAGTATCATCTGTAGAAAATTCAAAGGTAAGACACACTGTTAGTTCTCATGATTCTTATTATAAAAGAAAATTGGAGGTATAAAATGAATATAATCTAAAAATACAAAAAAGTATATGCCTTGATTTGAATATCTATCACTCCCAAAACTCATGCTGAAATTTAATCCCCAATGTGACAATATTGAGAGGTGGGACCTATCAGAATTCATTCAGGGCCGGCAAGAGGATTGCTTGAGCTCAGGAGTTTGAGACAAGCCTGAGCAAGAGTGAAACGGGAAAAATTAGCTGGGCATGGTGGTGTACACCTGCAGTCCCTGCTACTTGGGAGGCTGAGGCAGGAGGATCATTGGAGCCCAAAAGTTTGAAGTTGTTGTGAGCTAGAATGATGCCATGACACTCTAGCCCAGGTGACAGAGCAAGATTCTGTCTCCAAAAACAAACAAACACCCAAGAATTAGCTGGGCGTGGTGGCTCACGCCTGTAATCCTAAGCATACTGGGAGGCTGAGGCGGGCGGATCGCTTGAGGTCAGGAGTTCGAAACCAGCCTGAGCAAGACCTGCCTCTACTAAAAAATAGAAAGAAATTAATTGGCCAACTAAAAATATATATAGAAAAAATTAGCCGGGCAGGGTGGAGCATGCCTGTAGTCCCAGCTACTTGGGAGGCTGAGGCAGGAGGATCGCTTGAGGCCAGGAGATTGAGGTTGCTGTGAGCTAGGCTGATGGCATGGCACTCACTCTAGCCTGGACACAAAGTGAAACTCTGTCTCAAAACAAACAAACAAACAAACAAACAAACCCAAGAATTTATTCAGGAGGGCAGAACCCTCATGAATGGATTCATCCACTGCACTCATGGATAGTGGATTAATGGGTTATCATGGGAGTGGGACTCGTGGCTTTACAAGAAATAGGAGAGTAACCTGAGCTATGATGCTTAGCCCCCTCACCATGTGATGCCTGGATCTTGGGACTATGCATAGAGTCCCCACCAGCAGAAAGGCCCCCACCATATATGGCTCCTTGATCATGGACTTCTTAGCCTCCATAAGTGTAGGAAACAAATTCCTTTTCTTTATAAATTACCCAGTTTTAGGTATTTGTTATAAGTGACAGAAAATAGGCTAAGATAGTATGGCACAGAATAGTATGAGGGTTTAAATGAGGGTGGGGGATCACATAGGGTGTGGAGCCTTGGAAAGGTTCCTCATCAGTCTGAGACATATAAGGGCTGTCTGGAAAGTATCCTGCTAATATAACAAGAACAGTTATATGGCTGGATACTTTCTGGACAGGCCTCGTATATGCCATGTCACCCATTCCAGTTATTTATGTGCAGGTCAGCTTCCCTACTGGCGGACATAATTCTTAAGGACAGGAAAGTCGATCGTATCCATCTTTAAATTGTCTATTGCCTCAACATAACAGGTAATTACAAAATTACAGAGAAATAAATGGATGAGTAGCATTTGAGCTGGCCCTTAAAGGAAGAGCAGGGCATGCACAGCCAATCAGAGGGGCATTCTAAACAAAGGAATAGTCCTCTGTCCTATGCCTGGGGTTTCTTAACCTTAGTGCTACTGACACTTAGTGCCAAATAATTCTTTGTTGGGGTGGGGGTGAGGTTGCTGTCCTGGATACAGTGGGATATTTAGCAGTATCCCTGGCTTCTACACACTAGAAGCCAATGCAACACCATCCTGCCCCCATTGTGATAACTAAAATTGCCTCCAGATGTTGCCAAATGTTTCATGGAGAGCAAAGTCATTAATTTCTTCCTCCAACCCCTTCCATTGAGAACCACTGGCCTACAGTAAAGAAAATAACATTTATTGAGTGGCCACTAATATGTAAGGCTCTATGCTAGGTGCTATGAGGAATTTTCAAAATAAAAGACATATCCTTCTACTAAGAAGACATAAAGTGTTACGTATAAAAATAGTTGCAAAAACATGCTATCAGAATGCTAAGAGCAGGTGATGAAGATAACATTTAGTACAAGCTGAAATAGTGCTTTTAACCACTTCGGTATGGCACTCACGGGCCGCAAAACTTTGCCCACAGCTGGCACTCATAGTCCTCATGATAGTTTGTGCTGTGCATTGACTACGAATCTGTTTTGCTCTTGTGTGATGAGGAACGCTTTAAAGCACTGAAAGCTTGTTTTACTTTACAGGCAGCTTTACTTGTAATGTAAATCAGAATAGGTAACATATACATATATGTTTTCATTATGTTATTTTTCAATGTTCACAATTTTATTTTGACAAATGAAAAATTAGAAAAGTCACATCATGGCTGTCGGCTAAAGTCGCTGTGTGTGTTCATCTGTGGCTATTGACTATAGTCGACACTCATACCAAAGTGGTTAACATTTGGGGATAAAATAAAAGGCTGAGACTGGGTAAGGTTGTGGAGAGTCTTGGATGCCACCTAGAAAGATTTGTGAACAAAGGAAAAATATGATAAAACTTGTGTTGGATAGACAGAATATTTTCTTCAGGGAAGAAAATTTGGAATCTAAATAGATCAAGCATTTAATAATATGAATTTTGATAATAAAAACCTTCCTATCACCTTTTATGTTAAAAATTAAAACCTAATAGTATACTAGTGATAATAAATATTAAAAGTATACAGTAAATTATAGAAATAAAAATATGTGGTACCTCAGGTGGTGGCAGTCTGATTGTGCAAGCTTCTATACTTAGACAAACTTGAGTTTCTGTTACATTGATGTCTAATACTGAAAATAAAATATTTACCTGTAAACTATGTGGCATTATTATTCCATCCTATCAAATTAAGTATTTTAGTAGCAAAAAAGCCCCTTTAACTTAATTTATTTAAGTCAAAAACTAAGTTAGGAAAAGATTGTTTTCCACACGTGGTAAAATTCAAATAATCACTATTTAATATTTGATGGTCTACAGATGAGACATCTAAAAGATGACAAATGTATCAAACAGCATGAATATATGGGGAGGAAAGTAGTTGCAGGGCAAGGTTACAATAAGAAAAATGAGACATCCATAGTTAAGAGGAAAACCCAACACATACCTATACATGTAAGACATATATTAGTATTGTATGTAAAAATATGGAGCCTGTCCCCTTGTGAAATATAAACAGGAACCACACCATGTTTCTGACATGAATAGTCTTTTACTAAAAAATATCCTCAAATATACTGGCAGATATATTCTAGATCTCCTAGAGCCTTGAAGTCTCTATCTTGCTTTTTTCATAAAGAAAACTACTACTGACAAGCCAGGATACCAGTAACCTTGGGAAGGGGTAGTACCTGAAGATAGCAAGAGGAGGTTGGTAATGTTTCTTGATTGGAGAACTGGTTACAATGATATGTTTAGTTTGGTAAAATTAAATGAACTATACACTTACAATTTGTGAGTTACGCTGTAGTAATTACATTTCAGTATGAGTGAAAAAAAAATCCTAATACAGGAGTAACGAATTTTGTTCTCCTGAACTTTTAACTTTAAGCTCTACAATTGTAGTCTCATGATAGGATCTGGGGGTGAAACTAGATTTAGGTAATGAACCCATGCACACAGAGTTAGAGCACAGTGACGGCCCAACTTAAATGTAAAACTAGTACAAAAAAGCTTTAGCTGGAAAGCCAACTCAGATCAAATAGTTGTGGACTACAGGTCAGGATTTTAAGGCTATGCCCAAAGGATAGAAGAGCCACCATGATTGAGTAATAATATCTTCTGTGGGATCAGGATTCCCACCTATCTACTATCTCTGGACTACTGTTTAGGAAACTACTACTGTTTAGGAAACTACCTTACATACAACCATGCAAACTGATGAAAAAATCAGATTAGGCCATACAGTAAACTATATACTTTGGATCATCTGTGCCTCTTTAGATAATCTTTTTTTTTTTAAAGGAGAAAAACAATCATATTCTTCTCATAAGAAATAAAGTTTTGACTTACATCAGCACTAAAAAATTTTTGATGATATGATTCTGGAAACTATGCAGTGCTTACAGAATCAAACTCCTTCATACTAATAATTTTCTTTAAATAGAGAAAATAAAACTTTTTCCAATTATGATTAGTAAATTTTTCTCATATAAGTAGACTATGTATTTTGAACCAGAAGTGATTTCCCAGGTGAAATTCTGACTACAATAATATCTAATTAAACTCTGATATAACCAAACCATCAAAGACTATAACAACCCAATGATCTATAATATTGTTTTAACTGTTAATTTATATTAATGTTTTATGTATTCATGTAAGCATTTGTACTTACCAACAGCACTTTGTTTTCCCATCTGAGAAAGAAAATCTCTTCCTTAAAAAATTTGCAGAATATGCTATATTATTATAACTCATAAATAATCATGCTTGATAAATACAACTATGCTTGATGTCAAATTACCAAAGCTAAGAAAAATACTTTGAAATGCAAAGGAATATCTGATGAAAGTTCAGAGAAAAAAATATAATCATTCAAAAAGTATATATACATACACACACACACACACACACACACACCACGGAGTACTACTCAGACATATAAAAGATGAATTAATGCCTTTTGCAACAATTTGGATGGAACTGGAGAATGGAACCATTCTCCTAAGTGAAATATCTAAAGTATGGAAAAACAAATGCCACTTGTACTCACTATTAAATTAGAACTGACCAATGAGCACACATGTGCACAGAGGAAGTAAAACTCAGTGGAAATCAAGCAGGGGGAAGGGGGAGGGAGGAATAGGATGGGTGAAAACCTACCTAACAGGTACAGTTAACACTGTTTGGGTGATGGGCACATTTATAGCTGTGACTTAAGCATTACAAAAGCAATCCATGTAACCAAAAACATTTTCAGCCCCTTAATACTTTGAAATAAAAAAAGAATTATTCCCTAAAATTGACATTATCTTGAAATTAAAAACAGATGCACATAATAGAAGTAATCTAATTCAGAAAACCTCAATGACTGAACGAGATAAAGTTACCTTGTACCAAGAGATGGCCAGTTCTATTCCAGGCTGGAGCAAGTCTAGCCATGAATGAATATGAAAGGCAGTTTTGAAGAATTACTGGAATTACTCTCTGTGGAGCCTCCATCTAAAAATATTAAAGGGCAAAATATTGGCAAATTTAGAGCAACTTCTATGTCCTTATAAACTCAAAGGAAATGACTAGATGTTTAGATCACTACCCAACAAAATGGGCTATTCTGGATAAAAATTATAGTCTCTGCTATAGCTAACCCTAAGTGATTTTAAAGTTAAAGAAGTGTTAAAAGATATCCACTTCAAAACCACTACTACTGTCAAGCTATTATGGCCAAATTCTACCTGCTTACCCTGGCCCAAGAAGCCTAAACTTTGAAAGCTCCTGTGTTAAGAACCTTCAACTTTACTTTGTGTTCTGCTCCACACAGAGGAATCCAGAACAGAAAGATCTTGTGATATTTCCCAATATGGTTCAGTTTAGTTCAACATCACAAAACAATTAAATACTTACATGGGCACATATGCAATCAACAGAGTATCTCTATTTGTACAGAACTTTAAAAATTAAGACTTTCACTTCTGACCATTAAGTAATAGGAACCAGATTCATTCTCTCACTTAAAATGTCTAAAAAACTGGTTATATGAACTTGTATGAAACAATGGTTCACAAGAAATTGGATGTCACACAACAAAGAACAGTGGTCCCTGAGAGACAAGAAACCAACAAAATGAGCACTAGGCTATCCCCAGCTTCTTGATTATAGAGGATTTCCTGGTTGCAGTGCAGGAAGGGGTGGGGAGTATCTAGTAAGAGTTTGCTAATCTCCCTGAATTGGGAGTCCAAGGCAGCTAGAGTTTTCAGGAGCAAAGTACCGGAGAGGAGAGAGCTGCATAGAAAGCAAACTCTGGAGATCAGCAGAGGGTCCCTCTTGAGTATTCAGCTGAGTACAGATTAGCACATGCACCTAAGGAAACTGCCCAAGGCTGGGGAAAAGGCCAAGGCTGTTTGCCATAACAAACATCTTTGAAAATATAATCCAGGAAAAACAACAACAACAAAAAGGCTGCCATTGCCTCTGTGAGAAAAAAATGCAGAAAAGTGAGATAGCCAAGGAGCATTGTTTCTCAATGTTATCCACCCCTCATTTCCTCACTACTTGGCTTCTGGTGAATGTTTCCAGGATAACAATTGAATAATCTGTTGGCTAGGGATGGAATCAAATCTGTTTAATCTGTTTTTTGGGAATCTAATTAAGGCTACTATCATTAGGACTTCAAGTAGCAGGATAACGTAAACCTGCAATGTTGACCTCAAACATGGCCCAAAGGGCCCAGATGCAAGCAGCTAAACAAATTCCACAAACCTAGGGTCTTCCTTAGAAAGCCAGGTTGCTTTCTGCTTAATTTCTGTATTGACTTTCTCCTTGGCCTGAGGAATTAATAATCGACATATAGCAGGATATATCAGCACAAACAGCCATGCAAGGAGAAGTCTGGGGCAATTCTATCATCCATAACCATACTGATGGGTGACCTGATCGCCTTGCAGGGCAACAATGATGCCATTTATCACTTCAGCTAAAGTCAGTGACAAATTCTCTGCCACCTTCTCTATCTGGGTAACTCCCACTGTAGTAAAAACTGCTGCCCCTCAGAGGAGGAGGAGGAGAAGGGGAAAGAATAAGAGGAGGAAGAAGAAGAAAAAGAAGACACACATTACCAATATCAGGAATGAAAGACATGACATCACTAAATCATTACAGATTCGACCTCAAAGGAAAATAAGGGAATATTATAAGCAACTTTATGCAAATAATTTGACAACTCAGATCAAATGGATATATTCCTTGAAACAGGGAACTTGAATAGCTCTATTATCTATTAAGGAAATTAAAAATATAGTTAAAACCCTTCCCAGACAGCATTATTGGTGAATTTTACCAAACATTTATTGAAGAAATAACAAAAAATTCCATACAAACTCTTCCAAAAACTTAAAAAGGTAGGGAATTTTTTTCCTGCTATAAAATTTGTGGGGGCAGAGACTTTATCTGGTTCACAGCTTTACCCCCAGAAATAAGTAGACTGCTTGACATATTATAGGTGTTCAATGAATATCTGCTGACTATGATTTTTGTTATGTGAGAAGTATCCATATAAAGAAAAATTGAGCATAACCATAAAGGCTCAATGAGTGTAAGAAAATGCAAGTGAGGATGGAAGAAAGTTTGTGAATAACAAAGAATTCAGGATCTGGAAGTCTGGTACAGGGGACAAAACAAATTTACTTAGAAGGAATGAGAAACTGAAATAAATGGAAAAAGGATAAGAGTATAAACAAAGATTTTAAATAGTTTGGCAATGTGACACCTTGCACTAATGAATAAAGTCAAAGGTGTGAACAGAATGGAAAAAGTACAGCACAAAGTAAGCATTTTTATTATTTATAAGGACTGTGGGTGATATTTTTAATTTTTCATTTTTTCTTATAAAGTACATATAAATTGATGGTTCATAGTAAAAACATAGCTTTACTAAATCAATATAGTAAGTCCTCACTCAATGTCATCAATAGATTTTTGAAAACTGTGACTTTAAGTGAAACAACATATAACAAAACCAATTTTATCATAGGCTAATTGATATAAATAAAAGTTCCTATAGCATAGTTCTGGTCACAAAAACATCACTAAACTTCGAAGTAAAGTCCTAAAACACTTTTATTAAACATTGAAATAAATGTGAACTAAACATACATTTAGGAATGATTAATAAAAACGAAATAATTATTTACCCAATTTTTGGTGAATCAGTGACAGTGGTCACAGTGGTGATGAATTAAATCAAAGAATAAATGTTTGCAAAGTGAAAATTGTCAGGAGCACCTCCTACCACCATGTAGTTCAAAAACAAGTAATGAGAAATGCGGCAGGTTCCCTGAGTGCTTTCATACTACATCGTTTATTGTGGTGCATTTGTATGATTATCGTATACTTTATGAAATTTTATAATAATTTGTATGCATTTATTCATTCATTAATTTTCCAACTTACTTATTCCAGTTCAGAGTGGTGGGTGGCCAGAGTCTACCGCACCATCTCAGGGCTCAACATGTGAACCAATCCTGGACGGGACGCCATTCCATCTCAGGGTGTACTCACAGCCACACTCACTCAGAGAGACTGGGACAATTTAGACTTTTCAATTCACCTAACGTGCACATCTCTGGGATGTGGGAGGAAACCAGAATGTCTGGAGAAAATCCATGCAGACGTAAGGAGAATATGCAAACTCCACACAGTGGCCTTGCAGGAAATTGATTTTTTTCCTCAACATTATAATGAAACAATGTTTAAAAAAATGACTTTATTCAATGATCTGCTGTACTGAAATGCTACCTATTGCGCTCAGAATGTAATCGTTTTGATCTTTAGAATTCATCTTAAAAATCATAATCTTTTTGTATAATGACATTTGTCATTATGTGAAAAGTATCCATATAAAGGATATGGATACTTTTTCTCACAGAGGCAATGGCAGCCTTTTGTTGTTGTTGTTTTTCCTGGATTATATTTTCAAAGATGTTTGTTATGGCAAATAGCCTTGGCCTTTTCCCCAGCCTTGAGCAGTTTCCTTAGGTGCATGTGCTAATCTGTACTCAGCTGAATACTCAAGAGGGACCCTCTGCTGATCTCCAGAGTTTGCTTTCTATGCAGCTCTCTCCTCTCTGGTACTTTGCCCCTGAAAACTCTAGCTGCGTTGGCCTCCCTGGACTCTCAGCACTTTCTTCTCGATTCAGGGAGATTAGCAGACTCTCACTAGATATTCCCTGCCCTCCGCCCCTCCCTGTACTGCAGCCTGAATATCCTCTATAATCAAGAAGCTGGGGGAAATCCTAGGGCTCATCTTGTTGGTTTCCTGTCTCTTGGGGACCACTGTTCTTTGTTGTGTGATGTCCAAAAACTGGCCTTCCTCCAATTTTTACGCATAGATTCTACAGCAATAGAATTTTTAAATCAGTATATTAATAATAAGATTAAATTCTCTAGGAGCTAAGGGGTCTTCATTAAACCATGACATGTTTTCCATAATAAAGAATAGAATTTTGTAGGGATTGCTTAAAGACCTAGGTCTTTATTCTAGGTGAATGATATACTGTAATCTGGTTCTTATAGTTCATAAATGGCCTTTCAGATAACCAGAATCCTTAGATGACCAAAGACTTATAAAAAAGATTTAAACATAATCCTTCCTCATTGCTACTAAACAATACTGTTTTCCCAGATTGTAACTGATGTCTGAAACCAGCTTTCAGGTTATTCAAAGACTTCGAAGGGAAATAGAAAATACCATTTCTGAGACTTTATTATTCTTCTAGAACCTAAAGGCAGCATCTCATTTTAGAGACGACTAGAAACTTCATTATCTTGAACTCCAATAGATCTAGGAACAGAGGCCAGCAGTATGGCTGGACAGGCTGTTAGAATAACCAGTGAGTGCCTCAGAGTTACATGAAGAGGCACGAAGGGACTTCTAGTCAAGGCTCCAAGACTTGATTTACTGAGACACACAGTGGTACTCAAGCCCATGTATTCATCTTTTTCCTTGCAAAGATCCAGAAGCTCATCACCATTATACAATCTATAATTTTTTTTCCTTCACATATTAGTAGCTATACGGTTGTAAAGAATAATTTTACCTTGCTGAGTTTCATTTTCTTCATATGTGAAAATAGGGAGATTCACTTCTTTGAAGATATATCAATACATGGTAAATGAGATTATGCCACATAAATGGCTGCAATAAAGTATCCAATAAAAACATAAGCCTCTTCCCCTCTTTCTATATTAAATGTGCACAAAATAATTTTTTTGAAAAAAACGTTGGATTCTTTCACATGCATAGCAATGATTTATGAGAAACACATTCCAATTTTCATTTGCTAACTGAAGAAGTTGAACACATAATCAATATAAACATCTGGAATTATTATCCTTTTTTAAAACTTACCTTAGCTCCGTATTTTTCAATACAGGCATTAAGTTTTCCAGTTTTATAAAATGGTATCTATAACAAAAATCCACATTTATAAAAAGGACTTAACATAAATTTAACATATATATAATTAAATTATGCAATACAAGAAGATTTTAAGCATTATACAACAGAGGGCACAGAATAAGGCCATCATCCTATTAGCTTTTATGCCTTGGGGAAGTGATGACCATGCACTTCCTGAACTAGAATCTGTGGGCACATTCTCAAAGCGTAGAAAGCCTTTCTGGGAGTGACATGACCACAGAAGGCTTACAAAGGAAAAGTCCTATAAATTTCATATACTAAGTATTTAATATCTTTCTTAGTATACAATAAATTCTTAGACAATAAGAAAAATGGACACAAATGGAAGATCACATTCAGAAGGCCTAAATGCTATAACTCACTAATGAAATAAATACAAATTAAAGGAAAATATTTTTAACCTAACAGATTAACAAATACTTAAAGGCTGCTATTATCTACAGTGTTCATGAGGGTATGGAAAAAAAGTTTCTCTCATACACTATTTATTTTTTTTAAGAGTCAGAATCTTGCTCTATTGCCCCGGCTGAAGTGAAGTGGCATGATCATAGCTCAAACTCCTAGGTTCAAGCAATCCTCCCGCCTCAGCCTCCCCAGTAGCTGGGACTACAGGCACACCACTACACCTGACTAATTTTTTATTTTTATAGAGGTGGTATCTCACTATGTTGCCCAGGCTGGTCTCAATCTCAAGTGATCCTCCTGCCCTGGCCTCCCAAAGTGCTGAGATTATAGTTGTGAGCCATGATGCCCAGAACACTGTTAAAATGTAATCTAGCATAAGCTTTTCAGAGACCAATTTAGCAGTACCCAGATTATAGTTTAAAATCCAGATTACAGTTGCAATCCACTTCTAAAAATTTAACCCATAGAAGTTATCAAATAAAAATGATATAATTTCAATGATGCTTTCTGAAACACTGTTTGTAACAGCACAAAACTAGAAACTCAGGTGTGCATTAGAAAGTATTAAAGTACTATATACCCATACAATTAAATATTTCACAGCCTTAAAAAATGAGGAAGATGTATGACTAATATGGAAAGATATCCAGTAGAGACTAAAGAAGGAATAAAAAGCAAGTTTCAAAATAGTATGTATAATAATTCCATTTTCTACTTAATTTTTTTTTTTTTTTTTTTTTTGAGACAGAGTCTCGCTTTGTTGCCCAGGCTAGTGAGTGCCATGCCGTCAGCCTAGCTCACAGCAACCTCAATCTCCTGAGCTCAAGCAATCCTCCTGCCTCAGCCTCCCAAGTAGCTGGGGCTACAGGCATGCGCCACCATGCCCGGCTAATTTTTTCTATATATATTAGTTAGCCAATTAATTTCTATTTATAGTAGAGACGAGGTCTCACTCTTGCTCAGGCTGGTTTCAAACTCCTGACCTTGAGCAATCTGCCCACCTCGGCCTCCCAGAATGCTAGGATTACAGGCGTGAGCCATCGCGCCCGGCCTATACTTAAATATTTTTGTAAATTATTTTTAGAGAATACCTTTGTAAGATAACAAATCACATATTTAAAAAATAGATGGCCACTTTCCTCTAATTATTCTTGCCCAAATTAGGATAATTTACTAGAACTCTAAAATAATGTCCTTGTGCAATAAAGATTTTCAGGTAGAAAGGGATACAAATAAGAGATACTAGTCTACTTGTTCACTAACAGTTTGTCCTTTTTAAAAACTATATTAAGGATAAGAAGATATAAGATGGACATACAATCAAGACCTAGAAGAAAAAGAACTAAAGGCTTTGGATGATTTATCAGCGTTGTTAATAAATGTTGATTTCACTGAATTCTGGGGAATTAAAAACTCAGAAAAACAGAATTTTCAGAAAGATTTTTGATAAAAATCTTAGGTTAATATGATTTTTATACAAATTTCTGGAATTTCATCATAATTCCCAGTTACATATAGCACTGGAAAATATGTCTCTAATACTCATTTTACTAAGTATAAAAGCATTTTTTAGTAAAATTTCCAAATTAAAAGAAACATTGATCTAAGTTCCTTAAAAACAGTTGAAGATTAATCTGACACAGGATTCGTTAAAAAAGGAAAAAATTAAAAAACAGTTGGAAATTTGTTGAAATGAGAAACTTCTTCCTTTTATTCTTTTTTTTTTTTTTTTTGAGACAGAGTCTTACTCGGTTGCCTGGGCTAGAGTGCCATGGCATGAGCCTAGCTCACAGCAAGCTCAAACTCCTGGGCTCAAGCAATTCTTCTGCCTCAGCCTCTCGAGTAGCTGGGACCACAGGCATGCACCACCATGCCTGGCTAATTTTTTCTATATATTTTTAGTTATCCAGCTAATTTCTTTTCTATTTTTAGTAGAGATGGGGTCTCGCTCTTGTTAAGGCTGGTCTCAAACTCCTGACCTTGAATGATCCACCCGCCTAGGCGTCCCAGAGTGCAGGTTTACAGGCGTGAGCCACCACGCCAGGCCCTCTTCCTTTTATTCTAAAGAATAAAATATGACTAAAAAGTATTAAGCCCATGCCATCTTAAAAAACTATACTGTAACATTTTATTCTTTAATAGTCTTTATCTTAGCATTATGACAGAGAAAACTAATGGATTTTAAACATCGGGCATATCAAAGTTATTCTGTTAATAAATAGTTCAATCAAACTTATAATACAGTGTGATACATCCTCATAAACCATCTTCAATTTTAGCTTTAATACCTGAATTTTTTTATTTTTATCAATATTGCTCCCAATAATTGGTACTAATATTTCATAAAATGTTAAAATACTAACCGCCATCACCACCCAAATTTGGTTTAATATTCCAGGCACAGGTGATGTAAGAATATCTTGATGCAAAAACAGCAACTGCCTGTGGAGATAAAATATATTACAAAGTAGACCTGCCCACTGTGTTTTGACTTTACTGCAACATTTAAAATTTTTGCATAGTTAAAATTTTAAGTTTTTCTAGACAACAATTGTGTTGTAGACTTCTATCTCCTCACACTTAGCATGGTGCCTTGAACAGCATAGGTACTCAGCCAACATTTGAATTAAGAGGATTTTGAAGTTGTGGATACTGATACAAACATGAGAATTTGTCCCCTGTAGCTGAATTTCCCAAGCTCTTTCTTCTGTGAGACTAAATTCATTTTTTAAAGCTCCATTTCTGTCCTATATGTACACTTGAAGAAGTCTAAGCACAGTGAGGAATCCATCTCTTTGAATTCCTGTTCCTTCCACTCCTTTTTTTTTAAGTGGTGGGCAGGAGGCACTGGAAGCAAGAGGCTAAGGATTCACCTATCAGTGAAGTTACCAACTCCTTGAAAATTACTACTGCCTAGAAATTCTTTCCAAGCCCAAAAGAATTGAGTAGTGGTTTTAGTTTAGTTTTCAACAGCCAAATGAATTTACAACAAAAATCATCACAATGCGAATTACCACCAATAATTTTGTTTCAAAGTTCGAATGGAAGATACGAAAAACACAAATGGAATAGTTAGAAATATGAAATTTTTCAACATTACTAATCATCAAAGAAATAAATTAAAATGAGTATGTGTATGGGGCTGCTTCAAAAAGCAAGGTAGGCCAACCTGTTTCTGGTGGCTTCCTATTTGCTGGAAGCCAGGTGCAGCAGGGACTTGCTTTTGCAAGGCCTGCCTTTCTCTGATACAGGCCAGGTCTGTCTGCTCGCTCTGTTCAGGCTGTCAGTGACTGAGAGGTTGAATTAAGACAGCTCTGCTCTGCGGGTATGGCTGCCTTTGAGGCCAAACAGCAGAAAACCTCACTTAAGGTTTTCTACCTGTTTTATTTCCAGAAGGGGTCACAGGTGAAGTCCTCAATAGGCATCAAATTACATTTTAGCAAAAAGGGCACAGGCTCCGTCTGCCCCTGAGTGGGAAAATATGCAAATAAGGAAAAGAAATGTGTTGTAAATAAGATGACAATGGAGGACATCTCAAAAGCATTTTTCTTAATTCTTGCCCCTAGAATCTTACAGGTGTTTGTTTTTCTCCAAGAAATTAAAGATATAATCTTCTGCAACTTAAAGGACTAAATACATGGTGGGTCCTCAGTAATCATGAAATTATACTTTAGGCTTCCTCTAAGCTGTTTTCCAAAGACCACCTGTGGTCATTTTTATTGATATAGATCCTGGAAAAATACTCTTCAGTGTTTTATACTGACTTGAAAATTAAGAAACTATACTAAAGTGTTTACAGTGGCTCTAAGTGTGCTATAAACAGTGGATACTTAGTAAATATTGATTAAGATCTCTAAGTTTGGAGGAGCCTGATTTAATTCATGAATGTCTGCAGATTTTAAATTTTACAAAAGCACATAAGAGGTCACAAACAAAAACTCAACAGTGTGATATTCTATCACAAGTATTTTAAGTCCCTCCTTAAATGTAATCCAATATATCTGGTCAAAACAAAACTGACTTCCTTTATTTTGAAAGTATATACACAGATTGAGTAACTATTTTGCTTTAAAGAAAATACTTCTAAAACAGCTCTTATGGGTCTTAAAAATTTTTAAAAGCCTTAGTTATAAGATGTATTTTTTACCTGCACATCCTCATTTGTGTACTCCTAATCTCAGTATCTGACAACCCATTACTCAGTATTATTCTGACTGCACAGAGTCTGCGTAAATCTGGAAGGGTGATGAAGAACAGTGACTGCTGTCTAGAATGATTCATATTTTCTGTTGACTGAACGTCTCAACAATCAGGCCTTTAAAAAAAAACAGCAACAAAAAGGAAGTAAACTGTATTACCAATAAGATTTCAATACCAGCTTAGCACATTATTGACATTGTGTTAGAATAAGATCATAAAAACAAATTAGTTAGCAAACTTTGGCATTTAAATATCACTGACATTTTACGTTTAAGATTTTTCTGATGATTTTCTAGGGTCTTTGGGTACAAGTTTTATTAAAATATTTTTCATATAACATATAATTCACCCATTTAAAGTGTACAATTCAATGTTTTTTTTACTGTATTCAGAGTTGTGCAACCATCACTGCAATAAATTTTAGAACATTTTCATCATAATCTAGAGTTTTAAACCTGCAGTTTTATAACACAGAATAATTCGAGCATAAATAATACAAAACACCAGCTACTATTTATTAAAAGCCTACTCTGCTCCAGGAACTAAATATATTTCTACCATTTTGTGATTATTTAACAAATAACTGTAGAACTATCTTCTATAGTTCCAGATATTAAGCTTCATTTTGTTTTCAGGAAAACAAATTCTTATAACAATAATAGTTTTTTAAAAATCAAAATGCATAGCAGTCTTCTGTTGAGATTATCTCTGTAAAGCACTTCAAGGTTAAGGAATATAAAGAATATATATTAAGGAATATACATTACTCATTTTACATTAATAAAAATGTCCACTGATGTCTCTAAATTGTTACCTACTTTTCATTTCCACTAAGTTATATGGCTTTAAAATTCTATTTGGGGCACATTTTACCATTGATAATTCACAGGGTCTACCTCCAAAGTCTACATAGTATTACAGGAAAGAAAACTAGAATATAAAAAGCAAAGCAACCTATTGAAGTTCAAGTACTCTAACATGCACAAATACACCCAGAGAAAGTAACTTGGACTCTCTAGTACTTAAAACTTTTTAACATTGACATATTTTCTCTCATTTTAAGAAGTAATTACATATTAGCCCAGGAATCTGGAGTGTGACCAGCCTTAAGTGTTGATCACGGTAACAAAATGCATTTGTGGGGTAAACTGAGGAATGCTGGCAGTGCCCTTTTTGCTCCAACACATTTCTCTCACTCAAGCACCACAGTGTGAAATTTTCTTCTCCTCAGAGAACCACTTGGTTCTTTTAAACTGGAAATAATCTTACAATGGTTAACAAATTCAAAGGTGTTAGTGACTTAATCGAGATGATTTTTGGTATCATTAAAAATTAAAATATTTCTTCTCTGCTTTTATGTTGTAGGGAGAAAAAGCACAAAGTTCTAAGGCAAACACAACCTACTTCAAAATTTTAATTCACTTCATCTGAAGAGTTTTAGTAAAGGGCATCAATAATGAACAAGGTAAAATTTAAAGCAAAATATTAATTATGAGTTGAACCCAGGACAATTGTGTTAAAGAGAATAGGTCAAAGACATGGGTGACATTTTGTGATTTGTTACTCTCATTTGTAAAACACATTTCCCACTAAAATTACTTTCTATCTCATTTTTTCCTTTATATGTTACAGCAGAGATCTAAATTCCAGGTCACCAAGAAATTTCTATGAGCATCCTCCCCTTTTGTCAATCTTCAAAGACTTAATGATCAGAAAATTGTATGTACACAAGATTGATTTGTTCAGGAATAAGCATGAATTTATTTATCAGGATTTTTAAAAAATGTTTTTGAGTTCTTAGCAAAACTTGCAGATTTAAAAATAAAGTGTTTTTTTTTTCCTTTTAGTAGATTGTATAAGAATTATATTGTAAAGCTCAAAACCTGGGCCAAACCTCATTAACATATATGGATGAATTATTAACATATCGTTCAGAGGATAACTCCACTACATTTCTGTCCTGGTAAACCATGTTTGTTCCCAGTCACCACCAGGGTTAGCAAAGAGCAGCAGCTATCTAGAAAATTCTACATCTGAAGACAACAGAGAACCCAAACAGAAGCAAAACTCTATGAGCGCCCAGTCTGTGAAGTCAGTGAGTTGAAGTATCTGGAACTTAAAGCCCATCTGGAGCGTCATTTGTTTCTACCTCTGTGGGGACCCCTCCCAGGAAAAACAGACAGGGGGTCCGATTCAGCGTGGGCTCCATATTTGGCTTCCTGTGAACCCTCCCGTGGCTTCCGGTGGGCCCCCTTACCTTCTTCTGGGCCTCACTTTCTTACCTTTAGTAATGGATTTGGGTGCAAACATAGCTAAGGTCTAAGCTACATACATTTTAAAAAGGTAATCCTAGCTCTCTGGGAGGCCAAAACAGGAGGATCGCTCGAGGTCACGAGTTCCAAACCAGCCTGAGCAAGAGCGAGACCTCGTCTCTACTAAAAATAGAAAGAAATTACTTGGCCAACTAATATATATAGAAAAAATTAGCCGGGCATGGTGGCGCATGCCTGTAGTCCCAGCTACTCGGGAGGCTGAGGCAGGAGGATCGCCTGAGCCCAGGAGTCTGAGGTTGCTGTGAGCCAGGCTGACGCCGCGGCACCCTAGCCCGGGCAACAAAATGAGACTCTGTCTCAAAAAAAAGGTAACTCTATAAATTTCCAATAAAATAAAATGCACTAAAAGTAGGACCTATAGGCCTTTAAGGATGGATAAATTTTTCCGATCCCAAAGCCAGAAGCAGCGGGATTCAAACCGCGCACCCGCGAATTCGCCACACGCAGTCCCGCGGGTTCCTCAAGAAGTCGGCGTCCCCCCTTCTCTGGGCGCCGGAGCCGGGCGCTGCCCTGTGAGCGACGCTGCCCTGTGAGCGACCCTGCCCTGTGAGCGGCCCTGCCCTGTGAGCGACCCTGCCCTGCTCGCTCTTGTCCCTTCCCCACTCAGACTGCCCCACGACAGTGGGAAATACAACTGGTCAGACTTTTTTTGTTTTGTTTTGTTTTGTTTTGTTTTTTAAACTATAAAAGCGGCCGGGCGCGGTGGCTCCCGCCTGTAATTCTAGCACTCTGGGAGGCCAAGGCGGGCGGATTGCTCGAGGTCAGGAGTTCGAAACCAGCCTGAGCAGGAGCGAGACCCCGTCTCTACTATAAATAGAAAGAAATTAATTGGCCAACTAAAAATATATAGAAAAAATTAGCCGGGCATGGTGGGGTATGCCTGTAGTCCCAGCTACTCGGGAGGCTGAGGCAGAAGGATCGCTAGAGCCCAGGAGTTTGAGGTTGCTGTGAGTGAGGCTGACGCCATGGCACTCACTCTAGCCTGGGCAACAAGGCGACACTCTGTCTCACAAAAAAAACAAAACAAAACAAAAACTATAAAAGCAATGCCTTCAAAGCCGCGGCCTCCTGAGGCTCAGATGCACCGGCCTGCTCCCTCAGAGAGAAGGCGCTAGCGGCCTCCCTCGCTTCCACTCTGCTTCCTCAAGCAGATGCCCCTCGGTCCAGTCGGGTCCAGTCGGGTCCAGTCGGGTGGGACCCTCACCTCAGGGCGCGATTCCCCTCAGGAGCCACTCCCGGCATGCCCCAAACTCCCTGCGTGCCCCGCTTTCCTTGCAGCGTGGCCCCGCGCTCCCCGCACGCCACCCTCTCCCAGCATGCCCCGCGCGTTCCTGGCTTGCCCCGCACCCTCTGCGTTCCTGGCATGCTGCGCCTGTCAGCTCTTCTCACCAACGCTGACCACGCCGGGTGCAGTCGGTCAGGCGATTCCCTGAGAGGAGAGCTGGGTTGTGTATCCTGTAGATGGTCCCGCAATTTGCCCAGCCCCCAGACCTCAGCGTTAGCATCCTCTCGTCTTTGTCCCACACGCCACATTCGATCTGTCAACAGACCCACCAGTCCTTCCTTCCCACTATATCCAGAATTCAGTCATGTCCTCTGCCTCTGGCACTCTAACGTGGGCCGCAGTCCCATCCATCAGGCAGAGGCGCGGATAAGGCTCAAGCTGCAGGATCCCGCACTTGCACAGATCCCTCCCAAGGTCCCACACCTAATTTTGCATTTATTATTTCGTATTCTTTTTTCTTCAAGAGGGCCTCCCCTCTTGAACATTGAGGCCCGAGAAGGTTAAGGCCCCACAAAACCTGGCGCTGTCCCTGTACCTGGACTATTATGTAGTCCAGTCTGTAACTGGTATCCCCGATTCCAATCTCAACTTTGCATCTCTGTGTAAAACTGGAGTCAAAGTGATCTCGTTAAAATGTAAACCAAATTGTTCTCCTTCTATGCTCAAAACCCTCCACTGGCTACTTTCTTTGAAGTAGAGGAAGTCAGGAGCAGTTTGTAAATATTTGTGTTTCTTTAATTTATCTGGTTTGTTTGTCTCCAAATTTGCCTATGTTTCCTTCACCTTGGAGTTCCTGCCAGATAGGATTCTTCTTTATACCTGTGGTTTAGAATAAGGAAAGCCTATTGAGTAATAATAATAGTACTAGGTAAAATTGATTGATTGCTTTCTATGTGCGAGGACAAAAAACAAAAAAACACATTCATCAAATCCCAAAGAACTAGGCTGCTATAATCTAGTATTATACTAATGAATAAAGTGGCCACATTAGGATAGCACATAATTATTAATGACAGTATTTCTCATATGCAATTTTTAAACATGCTTTCTCAAATAACATTTTTTTGCAAGTTTTACATTTAAACTTCTAGTAGATATATTTTTTAAAAAAAGTAGACTGTAATTATTTCCCAAATAAGGTATGTCAGGTACCTTTTATTCCTAAAGAAATTACTAAGACATATAATCACTCATTAAGCACCTATAATTTAAATTATTCTATTCTGACATTTCCGAAGAGTCCAGTGTAATCAGATCATTTTATAATGGGGAAAACTAGAGGTTCTCACCCCTGGGTATCCACTAGAAGACTTGGAAAGCTTTGGTGGAAAAAATGAGATGTACTAGATGTACTAGAACCCTTGTTCTATTAACTTGTGTTGGAGACAAAACAGATTTTTTTCTAAGCAAGTGGCTTAGAACTGCTTATAGTCAAACGTCAGGTAAGTCACAAAATCAGGGTTAGGATCCAGATTACTAGCACTAACGTTTTTATTTTAACCACTTCTGGAGTTATTTGGAACTGGGACTAAAGTCTGAAGCAATCTTGACATTTGTTTATAGAGGTAGCCATGAACTCAAGAGACCGGTTGCTCTATTGAAAGTCTTGGGTCAGCAGTCCTAAGAATGGTTATGGAAAGTATAATCTGGTTCATTAATTTTAAAAAATAATATAGGAAATTTATAACACTAAGTGCATATATTTGAGAAAGAGAAAAAATTCAAAGTAATACTCTTAAAGTTGCACTTTAAGAAACTAGAAAGAAAAGGGGGAAACGAAACCCAAAACAAGCAGAAGAAAGGAAATAATAAAGAGCAGAAATCAATGAAATGGAAAAATAGAGTAAATCAGTGCAACAAAAAGCTGGATTTTTAAAAATATCAGTAAAATTGACAAGCCTCTAGCAAGGTTGACAAAGAAAGAGAAGTCAAAATTATAAAATACTAATATCAGGAATTAAACTGAGGATATCACTGTACAGACCTTACAGGCATCAAAAGGATAATAAAGAACTACTATAACCAACTCCACACACAAAGATTTGACAACCTAGATGAAACCGATCAATTCATTCAAAAGTATAAGCTATCACAACTCACCCAGTATAAAACAGATAATTTGAATAGTCCTCTAACTCTTAAGGAAATTGGATAGTTTAAAACCTAAAAAAGAAATCTCTTGGCCCGTTATGATTTCACTGGAGAATTCTACCAAACTTTTAAAGAATAACATCACTTCTATACAATATCTTCCAAAAAATGGAAAAGAAGGTCCCGACTCATTTTATGATGCTAGTATTACTCTAATATCAAAACCAAACAAATACAGTATATAAAAAGAAAACTACACACTAATATCTCATTAACATAGATATAAAAATTCTTAGCAAAACATTGTAAATAGTATTCAGCAATATATAAAAAGAATTATACACCATAAGTAAGTAAGGTTTATTCCAGAGATTCAAAGTAGTTCAATATTTTAAAAATCAATCAATATATTCTATTATATGAAAAAGCTAGAAGTAAAAATAACATGCAGAAAAGCATTAGATAAAACTCAACACCCATTTATGATAAAGAATAATTATCTGTGAAAATGTGACTGAATTATGTGAGGAGGCCCAAAAGATAAGAATTATTCTAACAAGGTCTGTACGGTATTTTTTGGTCTCAATTCTTTGTCCTTGCCGTACCTCACAAGTATAGGGAGGGCGTCTTTTACATGGGAATTTTATCTTTTGCTTTTAAGAAACAGCATGAAGGTCAAAATAATTTTCTTTTATAGATGCTGGTTTTGAAGTGTTTTTACTTAACTAAAGTGTGCTAGAATAGCTGAGGAGTTTTTTACTAAAAGAGTTTAGCTTATACGCTCTTGCTTTATATGGAAAAATAATTGTCCTGGCTTTCTTTCTCCCGTGAGGACGAGGCATTGCAAACCCCGGGCGAGGGTCAGCGGGGAGCAGCACATTTGTGTCACAGGGGTCAGGTTGTGAAACCGGTCTAGCGTGCATGTTGACAGTCTCCCCGTGGCGACCCTTGATGGACTTGGAGGATTACTACTTTTGTTACAAATTAACGTTGGTACTTAGGGGTGGTTAGGAAACACCCCGCGCTTTTGTGCTGAGGTCGCTGCCCTAGCAAGGATAGACTTTGCACCGGTGGCAAACTGCCCTGTTGCGCCCTTACGTGGTGTCGACATGGGACACCTTCAGAAGCCCCGGCCCAGACCGCCTCGAGCCAGCCGAGGCCCCGCCCCGCAATCCCGCCCGCTGTCTTCTGCGCAGACTCAGCGAAGCCCCATTCCGCCCTCCGCGAGCTCCAGCAGCCGGAGATTGTGAAGGGCACCTCCTGCAGCCAATCAGCAGCCGCGTGTTGGGCGGGGGCGCGCCAGGCCTGGAGGAAGGGGGAGGGTCTATCAAAGGCTGGGCCTTTTGAGTGACAAGGATACTGGCCTATCCTCGAAGGCCGTGCTTTGTAACGCCCCCATCCCCGCAGCGTCGGCCGCCCAGCATAGGGCGTGGTGCCCGACGCGCGGGGAATGTCCCGGGCGGAGCCCGCGGAGTCGCTAACTCTCCTGCCCCGCCGTGGCTGTTGTGTGCTGGGCTTGGCTCGCTGCGTGCCGAGATGGCTGAGCAGTCTCACAAGGAGGTGA